AGAGGACATTTCCCCTGCCTATGCGCCTCTTTTACCGTCAAATCCACTTTTCCTTTCCATCCAATCCACTTAAGAAAAGGGTGGAAAGTGACTAAAATTAGATCTCCTCTTTTAGTCAAATAGTAAACTCTTGTGCGATTTTACACATATTTATGTTACATAGAGTTGTCCACAGAAACATCGATGGTAATTTCGATTTAATTAATGCATTGCAAAGTTACCAGAAGTGGGCATACCTCAGCTAAAATAGACTCCTTGAAACAAAAGTAATGTGACGTTTATTACGAGGGTGACTGAAATAGTACCAGTAATGGTTTATCCAATTAAAAACCTCCACAGGAGACACCGGGAGAACAATATCGTATTGTATCACGGAATGACGCAATTAATTTTGTTAAAAAAACCATCCGTCTAAGATCTTTAAAAAATAATTACTTTGAATTAATTTTACGCTTATTTTTTAGTTATTTGTTACAAATAAATCGTATTAATCCCCTAAAGCAGGCGCACATCTTTGACTAAACAACGGTTGTGCGATTGTCGATTGTTTCGCAGACAATTCAACTGTTTTGCACAATTAAAAATCGAGTAGTGTGCGCAACTCTATATAAGCTTATAGGAATTAAAGCGTGACTAAACAGTTGTTCGATAGTTTCGTCAAAGGTGTCCGCTTTAAGATTGCATCTTTAAGTAGACAATGGTTAATGTAAGACGCAATTGAAACGATCTTTGTTCGAGTGTCGTGATGGTTTATAATGTAAGCAGGTTTTCTTCAATTACCTTGATATTTATACCTTTTTTTTACACAACGGGATCAATAGATTGTTACTGTGAATGTACAATGTTTTGTTTTGTTTTTATTCTAAGGCAGAAACAGTTTTTAGACTATGTTTGTATCAAAATTTGTTTTTATAGCGAAATATATAAGTGTATTTTCTCTAAAGTACATATTTAAACTATTTCTAAGATGTTAGTATTGTATAATAACAATAACAATACTCTTTTATTATTGTCCCATTGCGGAGGAAAGTTGGCAGCAAAAGTTTTTCGCTAAATCCATCCGTAAGTTTTGGTTCGAACGCCGGAATGAAAACAATGCCAACGGACCGGACTTTAATTAGCATACCACGTTGTTTTATGTAATAAGGAATAGATAAATTATTGTATCAAATGTTACAATTATCGTTTCGTAATTTCCGCGTAATATTTGAGTAGTTTTAGGAATGTTGAATTAAAAAACAAAACCTGTGACAATTATTTAAATAGTACATCGTTTCTATGTTAATAGTATTAATTGAAATTCGTAGAGCAATATTGAATCCCACCTATTTGGAACGTGCAATACGTTAACAAAAAGGGCATGGGGATTGGTCAATTTACATACATTGGTTAGGTAATTATGGCGCGGCGTTGGTAGCTCCAAATAAACTTCAAACCAAATATAATTACAGAAAAAGCGTCAATTATGTGGCTTTTACGGACTAAATTTCTTTTACCGATTAACGTATATTAAATGAATCGAATGAGTAATAAATACTATATATTTAGAAGTCATAACAGTTAACTCTTGTATATTTCCTCAGGTCCAGCTCTCCACCATCGAGTATCTCAAACAGTAACTCGATTAGTAACTCGAATAGTAACTCATCGAGTAAATCATCGAGCAACGGTTCCGACGTGGTGTCAGGAGATAGCTGCGAAGCTTTGCTGACGGAAGAGAGGACGCGCGGCCGGCCCACGCAGCCAAAGTTCGAAGCCTACATGATGACCGGCGACCTCATGCTCAACCTCTCCCGAGTGGAACACCCGCATCATAACCACCATGCGCCTACACATCGCACGCATTATCATAGGTGAGCAAAATTCCAATTGCTATAAGTACAATTGGGGAAACTAGCAGTGTTCCACCTTAAAAGCTACAATAATGTAGACATTTTGAAACAAACAATACAACCGGCTTATAAATGTACGAAAAAACGTCTGTTAGTTATACATGGCTAGTGTCTTTTTATGATTATTCCTTTCTTTTGCACCACTTATTGCTGTGTTATTAATTATTTGTAGGAAGTTCTCGTTGCACGAAACAAGGCAATTTAATAAGTGTAATACCGCGAAAGATTGTCTTGTTTCTTGCAACGAGATAAACTTCGCCTCTTACAATACACTAATTAGATACCAGTGATTAGCGCAAACGATAGTATAATATGATGTAATTACCCGCATACTATTAACCAATATTTTATCGATACCGGTACTTTTAAAAGCGTCCTTTTGGTTATAGTTCCGAGTCGTATACACAACGTTCACACAACTGTAGTATGTGAGGTGGAACACCACCACATTCCCTGATTGTACCTACAAATATTAAAAATAAAGTTATGCAGTTATAACGATGGAAAATAAAATTTTAGATATAATTCAACGCCGGCGTCGCCCAGTGAGAACCGTCTTGCGGCGCGCGTCGAGTTGGCGCAGCGGCACAACTCCTCGCCTGATACTGGACTCGGCACTGAACATGCAAACAAGCTGTAAGTCATACAATTCTTGTCGATACTATATGGACTTCTGTTATCCTAGTACAGAAGATATAAATCTCAAGCTATTTGGTACTTCAAACTTAATCAATAGAAGAAAAAAATCTATTTAAGTAGAATTAAATACAGATCAAAGCGGTAAAAACTTGTACTATTCAAAACAACATTTAATTATTCATATTTGTGAAGAATATATATTTAGTAGTTATTTAGAGATTGTGTCCGATCGGCTGTGGTCGTTGAAACTCAGTATGCGTCATGGAGCATTTATCAAATCCCGCGAATGTGGGAAATAGGCCGTTGATTAAATTGTTATCCGCCACCCCACGCACCATACTGATTTTAAATCAATATCACTTTGTTATAATAATTCTATACATTTAACATACATTGTTCACCTTTTCAAGGAGTTTTTATTTAATGAAATTATAACAAAACTCACTGAAATGCACAAGTTGTGTGATTGTCGATTATTTCGCACCCTATTCAATTGTTTCCGCACCTCCATATAATCTCATAGGAATCAAAGCGCTAAACAGTTGTGCGATAGTTAAGTCAATGGTGTGCAAACGCTTTTAAGTAGTGCCTTGTGTAGATATTAGGTTTTTTTATCATCTATCCACATTACTGAGCATTTTTAGTGGTTATTTAACGAGTGTATAAGGTTGGTAATGTTTAATCTATATTATAATTATAAAGAAAGATTTGTGTTTTTGTAAATATTAAAATAACTCAACTACTGGGCCTATTTTAAAAATTCTTTATCCATTTAAAAGCTACGTTATCAGTAACATATGTTACATTTTTTATTATCACGTAGACAAGATCGCGAACAACAGCTAGTTGACTAATAAGTTATTTGTAACAGGTTTATATCCCAGCCTGCGTCACCGGCGGGCGGTGCGGGCGGTGCGTGCGGCGCGGCCGCGCATGCTGGGGGAGAGATGGCGGCGCGTACGCAACACGTAGTGCGAACATCACGCTCTGAAGACCACCTTCAGGTACGAGAGGATATTTCTTACTACTTGATGTCTTTTCGGATGCAATTTGATTGTATTTATCATTTATGTTGATCTATATGTATACATTTCTATATTTAATATGATAAACAACTAATTGTTGATTAATTTTTAAAACTTCTAAAGGTTAATCTTTTTTTTTTTTCTTATAAAGTACGTGAGCTTCATTGACTCCGGTATATATTTGTATAGAGCAGTGGTAATTTTCTAATGGATAGTATATGAATGTGTTCCAGAAGGAGTCGTCGCTGAGCGCGGTGGCGGTGGACATGGAGGAGGACGTGACGTCATCGCTGAACACGCTATTGGACGCGCGGCCCGACTCCGCCACGCCTGGCCCGCGCTCTGACAGCGATCTAGAAAGAGACAGGTGATATAAATATTACGATATTAAAATATAGCCTATGTTACTCACAGATAAATTACCTTTCTAACGATGAAAGAATTTTTAAAATCGGCTTAGTAGTTTTTGAGTCGTTACATAGAAAATTATAAATTTTTCAACTTTATAATATTAGTATACACTAGCTTTTGCCCGCGACTCCGTCCGCGAGAAATTCAATCAAAATTTCTTGATAGTGCAGCCACTTTTGGAGTCATAATACTTTGTGGATTTCTCCTAAGTCTCAGCTTAGTGGCTCACTAATTTACCAAAAAACGACTAATTTTACTTAACGTTCGATTGTACATTTTATATATTGCTTGATTTATAAATAAGACTTGTAATACTACACTATAAGAGGTTATTTAACTATACTGTGTAATGCTACATTGTTTGTTAATTATATATTTGTGTCAGGATCGTGTGGACGTACAACGCGCCGGTGTCGTGCGCGTCGGAGCGCACTCACTGCAACGGCTCCGGCGCCACCTCCAACTCCACCTCCATATCTGATGGCATCTCGCAACGGTACATATATATATAACTAGCTGTTCCCATGGGGCTTCATCCTCATTATATTGAAAAAACTGTATTTTATTGTTTAAATTATGTGAAATATTCAAATGTTAAAATTCAAAGTCTTCAATGACAACGAAAGCCCTTGGCCATTGAAGAACCATGGCAACCTTGCCTCTATGCTGCTATTGGCAGCATTTTACTTTTTTTCACTTTCCCACATGACGGTTTTTTCCAATTTATTTACCCTATAAGTTTAATAGCGTGAAAATGTATAGCCTATAGGTAGGGAAGTGTAGGGATTTAAAAAAAAAGAGTTATTCGAAAATTGTTGTGATTACTAAGTAGTTTCTTTATGTTTTATTATATTAGTACAGATATAGATAGCTCAAAGTAAGAGTACACAGAAAAAAATATATAATCTCTGCTTACCCCTTTGGTTTACATGCTTTAATAGGTTTCTTCACAAATTAACAATAATAGATTTAATATAAATGTGATGTGATTGTTTACTTTCCAGGTCGTCGTCACCCGCGTCGCCGACGTCGGTATCGTCGTCTGTGATGTCGTCGCGCGCGACTCCGCCACATCGCACACACCTGCTCTCCACCTCGCAGCACTCGCAACACAGCCATAGACCTATTAATGGTAACTATTTGTACACTGAGAGATGGTTAAGTTACTAAGCAGTTGCTTAGTGTAAATTTTAACTTGGTTAAACTGCACAGATCTTGGGTTTGTTTATACTCATCATTTCTAAATGTCCAGTTTCACTTTTCCATTATAAGTGAAGGCATTAGTTGATATCAGAAGTCTGAATACATATCTGTTGTTCTGTTCTTCTTAAAGTCCCATCTTCTTTCAAAGTGCTGCAATCATTAGGGCAACTTGCATTCTTGACATCGCGGCTCTAAAAAGTCCAAAACACTTTAGGTTTTTGAGCCAGTATGCTCTATTTTATTAAAATCTATAAATAAATAATTTCATTTTTCAGGTGACATGAGTTTATCGGAAGCTGTATCAAACATATCTAGTCCAGACTACCAGGATCAGGACGACATGTTCGAGACTGGTCGAGACTGTCCCCGGATGGAGCTGTCAGACCCATCAGACTCCGATTCCACTATCCTGGTGTCGGAGCCATGTCATAAGCGAGCCAAGTCAAACTCCTCGTATTCCCCTGATAGTGATGTGACTCTAAATGGTGAACATAAAGACTATAGAATAGTGATACAAGTGAAAGGACCAGATAAAAGTGTTAATGCAAGTGATAGTGTAAATAATAATAATAATTTCACACAAAATGGAAAAGAAAATGGATGTAATTCACCAGAAAATCAAGGATATCAGGTGAGTTTTTGAATTTTCATACAAATGCTTTATAGTTGTTAAAAGTTCATATTATTAGAAGACTAGCTATTCCTGTGTGGGATTCATCTGCATGTTATTTTTTTTATTTCTTCAAAATTCAATTGCATTTGTCAAACTTCTAATGCATAGATGACAATAAAAACTAAAACATCACTAATATAAAATTTTATGGAGGTTATTGAATCCTAAAAAATAACAAGGGAAGTAGATTAAAGTGTCAAAATAGATGTATACATTTGTAGTCTGAGTCAGTTAAGCTGCTTCTGATATTCGAAATCACAAACTTACTAAAATGAGAAAAACATCCAATGATTGTATCAAGCTGTATCAAGCCAATCTGTTACAATTTTAAATGTATATGTATGCTGTTTTCCAGGAGTTAGGTAGCAATTCTGACGTTGGTTCAGACGAGGGGTCAGATGGAGACTCGCTGCACTCGTTCCACTACAGCCCCAAGGCCGTTGACATTCCGTCTGCTGAGAGGCTCGCTAAGCGACTCTACCACCTCGACGGCTTCAAGAAGTCTGATGTATCTAGGCATTTAAGTAAAAAGTAAGTTTACCTTTTAAGTATGAAATTTTTGTTACTCTAAAGGAACTAATTTGATAATTAAATAACGCTTGTCGCAACTTTGTCTGCCTAAAGTTCAAAATAATAAAAATATAGCCTTTGTTTGTTAACATAGCTTTTTAATGATTAAAGAATTTCTGAAATCGGTCCAGTAGTTTTTGAGTTATTTCAATACATACATAAATACAAATCTTATTATGGGCCATTGTTGAAAAACTTCATCAACATCATACTATTTTTTAAGAGGCAGTTCGATCTATATTCCACACTGTTCAATAGTTACTGCGAAATTTAACATTTGTATAAAACATCTTTCTCTTTGCAAGAAATCAATCTTCCTTAAATGCATGATTCTTTCTTTTTAAATACTCTAAATTGAAACGGGTACTATTGAACATAGATCAAGGGAAAAAATAAAGATTTTTTTTTCTGTTGGATATGGAAGAGAAGACTGATGTATAAATGCATCATCAGCATTTAAGGGTTAAAACAGATAATTTAGATGTGTTTGAGCATTTATTATGACTTTGTATATGTTGTGCAGCAACGAGTTCTCGCGCGCGGTGGCGGAGGAGTACGTGAAGCACTTCTCGCTGGGCGGCGCGACGCTGGACGAGGCGCTGCGGCAGTTCCTGGCGCGGTTCGCGCTCAGCGGCGAGACGCAGGAGCGGGAGCGCGTCCTCGTGCACTTCTCGCGGCGGTACCTCGAGTGTAACCCCGGCACCTTTAATTCACAAGGTACATACGTATCTAGAATTTAGAAAATCGACGTCTCAGTTCTAGGATTATGTGGACACATGTAACCTTCCAAAACTTTCATAGTCATAACATTAGTAATAAAAGTGTGATATTAAATCGAAATCTTGTTTTCTACCGCTCTTTTCATGCTCTCGCCGACACTCTCGTCTCTGGCGGAACGTGACAATGAGTTATGTTGTTTCGTCAACTAGCGTTCATTAATTTATAAGAAGGGCATTTCCCAACGGGTCGATCAGCTTACCGACAGATCGTCGTCATCACCATCACCAGATCACTATACGTCCCCACCGAGGGTCTCGGAGCCTACCCTAAGTAAGGAACGACTAGGCTATAGTCAACCACACTGGCCAAGTGCGGGTTGGTATACTTTGGTATGGTTGGTTGACACACATATCTTTGAATTTCTTCGCTGATATGTGCAGGTTGCATCACGATGTTTTCCTTTACCGTAAGAACGTCGGGTAAATTATGTACATATGAAAATTCGAAAAATCGAAAATCACATTGGTACATGGCGGGATTCGAACTCAAGACCTGTAGATTACAAGTGAAGTGTTTAATCCACTGAGCCATCGACGCTCATACGTCAGATCGAATGAGTAAAATCAATCGATAACCTAATGGGAAAAAGACCACTAGTTTGTTCGATCGGGGGACCGATCGGCTAAACAGGAAACATCCTATAAGATAATGGTCATTTGACTCATAATTTAAATGCTTTTTACATATTGAATTGTGTGTATGTATTGTGTAGACGCGGTGCACACGCTGACGTGTGCGATAATGCTGCTGAACACGGACCTGCACGGGGGCGCGGCGGCGAGCGGCGCCGCCTTCCGCCGCATGACGTGCGCAGAGTTCATAGACAACCTGGCCGACCTCAACGACGGCGACAACTTCCCGCGGGACACGCTCAAGCACCTCTACCACGCTATACGTACGCAGCCGCTGCAGTGGGCGCTGTACGTACCATACATACATACATACAAACACTTCAGATAATAATAATGATTGCAGAAAGTCGTATGCGATTGTTTTCGTCGTTCACCGTAAGACCAAATATTTTCGTTTTTGTTTGTAATGAATTCAGGATAGTAATCATGCAAGAAAAAAAATGAATAGGTTGCATTTGTGTGAAAATTGTGGGTTTACGATTATTTACGTAGTAGTCAGTTATACACTGAGCCCACAAAACAGTTCCGATTGTGTGAACAAGATTTGTTGCCAGTCAAATTATAAAGGAATCTATCTTTAAGATAAAGAAATATCAAAATTTATTACTAACTAAATGTAAAAGGCTTTATTCAGTTAATAATGTGTGCGCGTAGTGACACGGAGGGTAGCGAGCGCGGGGCGGGGGCGGGCGCGGGGGCGGAGCAGCGCGGCGCGGCGCTCGGCGGCAACCCCTTCCTCGACGTGCCCGACCAGAGCCGCGCCGTCGAGTACAAGAAGGGCTACGTCATGCGCAAGTGCTGCGTCGACGCCAACGCCAAGAAGAGTGAGTACCTTTCACATCGACACGTACCTCATGCCCGGTTCACACTTGGCCAGTACAGTTAGTTGCCACGGCCAGTCATAAATTGTATGGCCTCAATCGAGCCATTTGGTGTTCACAATATGCCAGGTGTTTGCCAGTTCAGTAAATGAACTCTACTGATTAATTGAACCGGCAAAGTGTAAACTGGTCATTACGTGTATATCCTTACTTAGTAAAGTAGAATTGAAAGCTAAAAATTGTATTCATATACTTTTCTAATAAAAATATTCCTACTTTGTAATTGTTTGAGTAATTTTAAGGGTTAACAAATTAAATACCCCTTATAAAAATGATTTATTTTTCTATGATTTAAGTTTCTATGAGATTATCACTTTTTGTGGTTTGACGTCATTTTAATTAAGGTCTGTAAGAATAAATACGTTTGTCTTTAGCTCCTTTCGGTCGTCGCGGATGGAAGATGTTCTACTGCACGTTGCGCGACCTCGTGCTCTACCTGCATAAGGACGAGCACGGCTTCCGACGCAGCCAGATGTCGGACAATCTGCACAATGCCATCAGGTATTGTACGACAATACACGACATTATACGACAATACACGACACTACACGACAATACACGACACCACATGACAATACACGACACTGAATCACACAATACGAAACTACACGACAAGATACGACAATACAGGACAATACACGACACTATACGATACTATACGACACTACATGACCCCATACGACACACAAACATCCTGCACTATAGATCTTTATTCCTTACTATCCTTTGGAATCCATTCATTGAATTAATGAATCGTTTGCAGGATACACCACGCCCTGGCCACGAAGGCGACGGACTATACGAAGAAGCAACACGTATTCAGATTGCAGACTGCGGATCAAGCGGAGTATTTGTTCCAGACTAGGTGAGGTTACCTCTTAAATTGTTTCTTTTAAATCATAGATAGTATAAGCTTTCGCCCGCGACTCCGTCCGCGTGGAATTAAAAAAAAACTAAGTAGCATATGTGTTTTTCCAGACCATACTCGACATCTGTGCCAAATTTCATCGAGATCAGTTCAGCCGTTTTGGCTACAAACTCTAACAAACATCCATCCAAAGTTTTGAATTTATAATATTAGTAATTAGTAATAAAGTTGCGTGTATTAAAATTTCCAGCGACTCAAAGGAGCTATGTTCGTGGGTGGAGACGATAAACTTCGTGTGCGCGGCGTACTCCGCGCCGCCGCTCGCCGGCGCCGTCGGCTCCCAGCGCAAGTTCCAGCGCCCTCTACTGCCCTGCACGCATACCAAGCTCGCTATGGTCAGTAACAACAAATATACATCTATACTTGAAATAAAATGGAGGGTCTGATTATAATGTCAAAAGAAACATTCCTTTGAATTTCAATTTAAAAGTCACTTAAAAAAAAAATTCTGTCTGGTCGGAAGCCGCGTTTCTTCCGGGTAATCTCTGAAACGGCTGGGCCGATTTTGAAGGCATTGTCACCAGAGGGTAGCTAACATGGATAGTTCATATTATAGGCTATATTTTTAATTAACTGTTGGATTTTTAAAGCAGGTAGTAGAATTTAGATACACTGGGTAATAGAAGACATTATTTTAAAATTCCGCGCCAACGAAGTTTGCAGTCGATAACTTGTCACGCATTAATCTATAAAAACAAGTGAATTTTCAATAATGAAAGTAATAAATTGTATATTTTGTAGCGCGAGCAGCTGGCCGAGCACGAGGAGCGCGCGGCGCGCCTGGAGGAGGAGCTGGCGGCGCTGCGGGCGGCGCGCGACGCCGCGCACACGCACGCGCACAACGCGCACTCGCGCGACAAGGACCACTACCTCGTACACGAGGTACGTACACTACATTTATTCTTTGTATTGATAAGAACGTCCCGTCCCTGTAACATCTGTCAATGACAATCAGAATTATTTAGAACGAGCCGTTCCAATATGCCTTCATCCGCATGAAATTATGAAAACTTTAGTTTATTGTTTAAATTTGTAAAATGTCAAAATTCAAATGCACAAAAGACCTTTGGCGACCTTAGACATTGGATAACTGTTAAGTTTTGTTTTATGTTTACACTTTATTATATTAGTATAGATTTAAAGCGAATATTTTTGTATTCCAGATAAAGAGGTACCGCACGTACGCGTACGTGATGCGGGCGCGCGCGGGCGGCGCGGGGGCGGAGGAGGCCGCGCCCGCGCTGCCGGAGCGGCCGCACCCCCACCCGCACCCGCCGCCCTGACGCGCCATGGCGGTGTTCGCCGCCTGCGTCTTGTGACTGGCCTGCGCCCCGCCCCCGAACACGCCCCCGCCCCTCAACACGCCCCCGACACACGACACGCCCCCGCACGCGCAACGCTACCACAGAATGTAACGATACAGCGGATGACTTATTAATATGACTAATCTAACTTATTTGAAGACGGAGGAGACTCATAGGAGGAATATCCTTTTTATGTGCGTCTCCTCTTTCGTCGATAAAGAGTAGGCAACACATCTGCAATTGCGGATGTCTACGGGCAGAGGTTGCTTCGCCCTTTCCTAAATATCACTCTTACCCGTACTTACAAGATGTAAGGACAAGAGTAAAATTGTTTTCTCTTGACCACGTGCCAATTGTATACTGTTATGTTTTCCCGCCGCTAAATATTCACAACATTGCACAAATACTGTTTTTACTACTTTGGATGAGATCTATTTATGATAAAAACTAAGGCGAACTCTCCAAAATAGAGTTATGATAAATTTAATCTTTGGTCAAAATTAAGAAATTGTATCAATTAAAATTAATTTCATTGTATTGCCCCAAAAATTATGATATTTGGAATTTTAACTTATAAGTCGTGTTAAAGTAGTATTTTAAAATAACGATTACGCTATGGATAATATCTTTAAACTCCTTGGTGATCTCGGTTTTGAAAACTACGAAATTTATTGATATTTTTACGACTAACTTGACAATTTGCCCACCGCAAGCTCGTTGGAGTATTTCTACGCGAGTAAATGATTAAAACCTTAAGTGAATTAGAAAGTATGTCAGAAGATAAATTAAATATGTACGCAGTAAGAAGTAAGTAATTTATTTCTATGATGATACAAAAAAAACAATTCAATATAGGCGGTAAGGGATATCAACAAATTTTCATTACTAATTGTAGCTGTAATTGATAATGTGAAATAGTTTTAAATTTTAAAAAAGGTCTAACTTATTTATAAGGTAGCTTTTAACATATGAATGCAAAGATGGCGGACGGTTGTATGCGGATTCAAAATGGCCGCCGCGGATTACTTTCTCTTACTCGGACTCCGCCGAAAAGACTGAATAATATACTCAAACGACATTCCATTGCCTATTCACAGAATTTTAAAAATAAACAGTTCTGAGCAACAACAATTCACAGAATTTTATACAAATGTGTAAAAATTTTTTTTCTATCGATCGCACTAATTTGAATCGATATATCGACTATACATTATCGATATCGGAATCACTACACTATTTTAGTAGTATAAATCCTCTCATATCACTATTGTTTTTTTTATCAAATATAGTTATTTAAAAAAATATATATCGAAACAGAATTAATAAATCGATTTCAAATCACTATTATTGTTAACTAAAACATACTTCACATATTTAAAGAACATGGTCATTTTAAATCAATTTATAAGACTATGATTAAATTAGATATTAAGTTGATAATTACGCTACATTTCGATATCGATGTAATCGTATCAAATATTAAATTGATATAAAAATCGATAGTTTCGATATTATGAATATGGCAACCCTAAAGCGGCGGGTGGTTGCAGATGACGTCACGAGTTAACGAAAATGTTTTAAAATCTAGTCCTGTCTTCCTGGCACATTGTTTATAATATTTCAGGTCGGCGAGGTTTATTTATTAGAATTCGTAGTGCGGAAGTCAATAAGAAGTTCAAATGTAAATATAAAGTACATAAATATGAGCTTTTTACTTGCATTTCTTTAGCACTTGAAGCTTAATCTCTTAGCAAATGTTAACACGTTGACTGCTACCGACTTGTTCTGTGGGACGTGGATCGTATTGGCATTGAATGTGTTAGAGAAGTATATGCTACATAGCAAATGATTTTTGAATGAATTAAATTTGCTTATTTGTGTTTTGTTACGGAGTATGTTACATTTGGCGCTAGTCCAGCGAATGGTTTTATGCTTTAATCTTTTATCGGCTTATTTTTTATTATTGAAACTATACCATTCCATGTATAGAAAATGAAATGTGTATGTGTTTATTCTAAAAGCTTCCCAATTATTGAGTAACGGCTGGTATCACAATGTAAATAGATTTAGTATTGAGACTGATAAGTAATGTTATTTATTTGTTTTGTAAATCAACCAGTGTCAAAATATAAAATGTCTAGATTCGGACGATTTGAGATGTGACTGTATTTATTATGTTATCTGTCGATGTGAACACGGAGAAATATCATTCTCACTAAAAGTATTTAGATGAGGGCTTATACAGCATGTTTCGATTGTAAAACTTGTAATAATATTGCCTATCTCTTTCACTCTTGTCGACAAAAATGGAGACAGAGTGTGACGGCAGTCGAAACCTAGAAATTATAACATTCTATGTATAAACTATAGTTATTTAGTTTAGCCGATAGTGCCAGTAAAGTGATATTAGACTCCTCGTATTTTGTGATTATTTTGTCATTATTTTATTAAAAAAAAAAACTATGTAAAGTATCATGTGTCTGTTTTTATTATCTGTACTCGTAGCACGATCTTTACCATTTTTAATGTAGAAACACTGAATATCTCTTGTTATGATTTGACCAGGAATATGAAAATGTGACTAATTGTATATTAAAAAGTTATGTAATGAACATACGATTGAAGCGTCTCCAGGCAAAGATTTTCATGTTCTTGGTGAGACCATATTTATGTATTAGTAATCGGAATAGTTGATATACAATTTTTTGAATATAAATGTCGGATAAATTTAAATAGCGCAGTAAACAGCATATTCTGTTGGTTCTAGTTTAACGAATTAAATTTGTGCCAATAGATTGTGCTGTATTAGTTAATATCTAATCAAGAATTAACAATTTTATTCATACTGTACATTTAGTGTTAGATAAATGTAAGTATAATAACAAAAATCAATTAAAAACACAGAGATTGTGCAGTTTTATGAAATTCAAAATCTGTATAAGGTTGAAATTCGTTTTGTCAGTGCATTTTAGTCTAATCAGAAATATAAAATCCCTCGTCATGTAACCGAAAAATGTGGAACTATTTTCGTGATTTTTATATTCTTGGTTAGACTATACATGTAATATAAAGGCCTAAAAATATCTATAGTTGAGGAATTATTCCAAAAACTGCTATTATCAAAAAAACGAGAAAAAACGTTTTATACAAGTGTATCGGAAGGTTCCCGCAGCTTTATGTTGCACAAGTTTACTGTAATTCGATAAATACATTTATGGTGTTCAGTTTGTCTTGAATGCTTTCGTCTATTTAACACTGAGTGTATTGACTGTATGGAACTGAATGAATATGAAAATATGTGACATTGACTGTACGGAATATATTCAATAATTAATTTTTCTAAACATACCAATACAAACTACGCAACAAGTTGGTAAAACGTTAGTTATTGTTAAGGTAATATTAATGGAGAGATCATGCTATATTCAGATGTAATAGTAAATGTGGTTTTACAAAATGTAAAGTCACTCGTCGGATTCAATAAAAATGAGAAATTGTATTTATACAACACTAGCTAAAGTCACTTATTGTCTATGAATTTGTATTACAATGTACAAACATGGCTGAATTTAACAAGTCTATAATAACAGCCTTGTAAAGGTAAATAGGTTTGTTATAATTTCTCATTTCAATTGGATTTGTCTATAAAAAGATGTCTTATAATAAAGGCTTTTGTTCTTTTTATTTTAATACCACAGAGTTTTGTACAATTTCATTTGCAATACTGCAACATGATACTTAAATGTAGGCATTTTGTAATTATTCTGTATTAAATCAAAACATAATTGCATTGTTCAAATAAACATTTTTTTTATATTGTTATAAAAATCGCTAGATATAATTACGATTGCGATGTTTTTAGAATCTTTTTGGACAGAAATTTATCGCTTGTACATAAGTTTTTTTTTACATTTTATTTACATATTAAATTTATTTTTTTATGATTTACTGAAGTGTATAGTTTGAATAGTTTTGTTTTAAATAAAACGTTTGTGCTCTGTGCTTTGATTTATTATTTGGTTGTTTCTTTCAGTACCCAAATTTGACATGTCTACTAGAGTCTTATCTCTACATGGAATTGAGGGTCAAGAAATGCATTATCAAGATTTGCCCATAACTGGATACTGTATTTTCCTGTGGCACTTTGACTACTTTTCTTAATTGAAAAGAGTGGGATTTCTGTCTTATTAGCTAACATAGTGCTGTAGTGTTATAAACTACCACTGTCAATATACTTTACATAAACCTGTACTGCTCAAAAGCATTGTAAATAATAAAATATACAAGTTATTATTTTATTTATTTTATTTCTAACACTTTTACTTAATATCTACATCCAAAAGAGTAATCAGTATTTTTCTGTAAAGGCCTCTGTAGAGGATGAGCCAGCAGCTTGGCGATACAATCGTGAATTTTTGTTGCATTTCTAGAAACTTCATATACATAAGAATAACCATTATCTAAGTCTTGTAGTGCATCATACACCTCCTCACATTTGTACATACTACAATCTTCTTCATGTGATAGTAAAATGTCTATGTAGAAATAAAATTGTTTCTTCAAGTAAATGAAATAAGGATCATCTTGAGGTATTTGTGGAACACAATTTGATCTTCCGTACAAAACTATCATTCTCACAACATAAGGAGGTGGTAAGATACAATCTCCCTGGCTGTATTCTGGTATTTTAATTTCATGTTTTAATATTTGAAATATTTTTTGAAAGTCAAATGTCTCTGTTGAACTCTCCTCTGGAGTTAAAAAATCAACAACACTTATGATATCTTTAGGGTTATTTGTAAAACCTAGTAACCAACATGGCTCATCTTTTAACATGAGCAGAGCAAATTGTGTATGTTTGTTAATTGCATGCTTTGAATGTATGAAGAATTCTAAAACTCTCTTCAACATTTTAACAGATGTAAATGTGGTACCGTCGCCTAAGCGGTAAAGTGAATTTTCATTATCGTAGCAAAGATCCAAACAAATAATAATTTTCTCTGGAACGTTGACATTTGGTAAGTTAGGTTTTTGAAAATTCTCAATAGTTTGATCCCGTAACTCTGCAAAGTCTTCGCGACTTTTAGGTGGATGCAAATTTCTGTAAAAAGATATTTGATGCAAATTATCTTGTTATAATTGAAATAAAACAATACTACAAGTAAAAAAATACCAACTCTGATTCATTCGAATCTGTAACATTTGAGTTACTAGATGATGGCAATATATCCGGAGAATCCATTTTATTTATTATGTTTTTATATATTTAGTCTCCGTTTATAATTATATTTCAATTTGCCTATATATAAAAATAAACATGAAAAATAAAACGAGCAACTAAACTGAATTGTCAAATGTCAACCAACTGTCAGTGTCAATGTTAACTTAAATTATATACAGACTAAACAGGGCAAAATGGGTGATTTTAAGTAAGATAAGTAAGAGTGATTTTCGGTTAAAAAACCTGCGCCGATTTAAAAGAACTTCCAAAAAACAATTTAAATTATTTTCCAATATGACTACGAACAACATTTTCCAAATGTTATAGACAAGTCCCAATTTTTGAACGTTTATAAGTTTGTCATCATTCCTAAAAGAAATTAAAAAAAAACATATTAATGTCATATTTGACAGAACGGTAATGTTGGCTTAAGTTCTTATTCTAAAACAGTTTTTTGGTTCAATTGTGAAAAAGAATAAAGATTACTGATCTTTACAGTTTTATTTTGCAATGGATTACCATTACGAACAGACCAGTGAGGTTGAGGCATTGGATTCTATCTATTACGGCGAAATGAAAAGTAAATAACCGTAAAAGTTAACTTTATTTTAGGTTACTTTATAATTTACTCATGTATTTATTAAAGTTTTAGAGACTGAGCCATACAATAAGTTTTGTATACCGATAATGTCGGAGGGTTTCGAAGACGGTGGTGAAGGTTTAAGCTGCCAGCTCACTTTTACATATACAGCCAAATATCCTGATGAGTTACCAATTGTTGAGATAGAAAATGAAGAGAATTTTGGCGATGCGGACAGGAATCAATTGTTGGAACATTTAATGGAACAGGTTAGTAATAGGGCACAGACTGGTTGATGGCAATATGTACCATGTACAAAGACGACCTATTGGTACTTTTTAATAAGCACCCTATGTACTCTTCTATAAATGTCATATCTGAATTGAGTCTCTTTTTCAACTCGTCCATACTTTGATGTTCCTCTATTCACATGTAATAGTAAGGATCAATTATTTATTCAAAAAGAGACAAAACATTTATACTTCCTGTGTCTATTAAATGTAAGTAAAAACTTATGATCATTTTAATGTGTAGGGTAAGGAGAATCTAGGCATGGTGATGGTGTTCACCCTGGTCTCGGCAGGACAGGAGTGGCTTAATGAGAAATGGGACAGCATGAAAAGGGAGAAAGAAGAAAAAGTTCTTGCTAAAATAAGAGCAGATGAGGAAGCAGAACAGGTCTGTTATGAACTCTAAAATTCTAATAAATATATTATTAATCATAATATTTGCGACTAGCTGTTGCTCGTGACTGTCTACATGATATTAAAAAAATAATAACAAACATAGCCTATGTTACTTAATAATACTTTTATTTGTGAAATGTGTTCCACAGAAAAGATTTGAAGGCACAAGAGTGACAGTAGAATCATTCCTGGCGTGGAGGAAGCAGTTTGAGAATGACATGGGCATTCCTGCTAAAAGGGAAAGAGAGGGCAAAGACAAAAATAAACTAACAGGAAAAGAATTATTCTTAAGGGACACAACACTCAATGAATCTGACCTTAAGTTCCTCGATGATGGTAAGTATCAAATAATAAAAATATTTATACTTTTGATTGTTCAACTTGGTTTTAATGAGTTTTCTAAGTTTTTTAAGTAAAAAAATATGTTTGTTTATATAGATTTTAAAGTTAAAATCTCATAAAAGACAATAATAGACATGTCTAAAATCAGATTCTTATTTCTGTTATAATTACTGTAATAATTGAATTACAAGGCCCGAACAAAAGAAGTTCATAGTTAAAATAATGATGAAGCTTTTATTTTGTCATCTGTACCACAGTGTTGCGAAGAAACATGCAAGATATGTCTTTCTTCCATTTAATGTGGAAATTATGATTTACTTGTGAATCGATTTAGTTAATTTTAAAGTAATGTACTATTGAATGTTTTTACAGGTGATGCGGTCAAAGTTGATGAATCCCTATTCCAAGATTTGGATGATTTGGATATCTCAGATGAGGATGATGAAGACTATGTGCCGGGAGAGAGCGGCAGTGAGAGTGATTAGCGAACAATACCGCGCATAACTGTGCGCTATTGATAGACTGCTTGTGTTTGTGATAAGCTTGGCGTGTTAGCCAATGAGATCAATATTGCATATCAACCTTTACAAGATAAATTTCAGGTTTGTATTTTTGACTTACAGCCTAACATAATCAAGAAACATTTTTACTCATTTATTTTAGTGTTTTTTCATTTATTTCAAATTTTACCGATCCAAAGATCGCAGAAAAGAAAAGTTTGACCAAAATATGAGGGATGTTTTCATAATTCCTCTTATAATTAAAATTATACACCTAATAATGCTGTATGGAGTGAAAGAGATAATAGAAGCTGTAAGGAGAAAAGTGTATTTATCCCTTTCTAAAGGTTGATGTGCAATATTTATAGCCGAGTAAATGCTTGAAGATGAGGCTTGGCCAAAAAGGGACAGAAGTTATTTAATTGTTGACTTGTTAATGATTTAGCAAAGTTTAGTCAATATCCGTTTTTTAACATTTGAGACATGTTTTCATATTATAGATCAGGTTGTATTTCTACTGAAGGATGACAAATAAGAGATATTTGCGTAAAAGTGCTGTTATTGCCAACATTAAATGAGTGATGTTATTGCTATAATTATGTTAGCTATATTGTAATTCTTGTTTGTTTGTTTTTAAATCATTCTGCATATATTCGTCAGTGAGAATAAACGCTAACACTCGATTCTAAGGTTTACAAACATTTTGTAATTTTACAGGCACTTCCAAAGCTTCTCTTCATGTATCAAAAAGGTTCTTTGTAAATAAAAGAATTTGTTTTTATTTGGAGAATAGTTTTTATTTACACCTTTGTCCCTAATATATTATGTATTTACATACATCTATTTAAGTTGTTTATTAAAAAGCGATTGATTTGCAACATCGATTATTATCTAAATTTAAAAACATAACTATTTTTTTGCAAACAAAACAATAACTTAACTGAGTCGACATCAAAAATAAATAACGTAATAAAAAAACAATATCACAAAATGTAATCACAAGTGCAGTCTTAAAATTAAATACACGAAAATTAACACTAATTAAATATCTAAACGTTTTCTATAATTAACCAAGATATGTATAAAGTTTCAAAACGGTGCAAATATGAATAAAACAATTTCGTTTAAATTTCGCAAATATCGCGATTTTGTACATAGAGATATTGCAAAAAATATATTAATTTATCGAAACACGTATAGTAAAATCAAATTTAACACACGACTCACGTTTAATTTTTTGTAATAACGATTGAAAAAGTTACACAACACAACAACGATTTAAAAATAGATAATGGTGTTAGCATAGATATATAATCTAAAAATGGAGTTTTTCTTAGAAGTCACACAAATTGAAATGGTAAAGCATACTGAAGAAATTTAGCCTTATTAGTCCAGAGATTTGGTCACTTTTATGCTTCAGAACGCATTTATAGGTTATATATCTATAGGTGTTAGAATAACCATTCTTTTCTAACACCAAAACATGTAGAAAACTACATCGACACTCGACTCTATCTTTAAAAAACTATGATTGAATTGTGATTGAAGGAGATTCCGTACAGTGAAAAGTAACGGTAAGGTTAGGTTAACCTTACATTGTGTCACTCTTACTTTTACCACAGTTTAAAATAAACTACATAAATAAAAAAAAACGTCTCATCAGAGAAGTTCTAATAGTTCGTCTGCTCCATATATGATGGAAGACTTGATAACTTTTATAGATCGTTAACATTAACATGTAGTTGGTTAAATCTAACAGAGCTACAATGTTGTGAAAAATGATTTCTACCTTTTACAAGCGAGCTCCAAAATAACATTTATTCCGCAGTTAAATAAAAAAATGGTTTGCAGTTGGTTTTAAAAAGTAATTTAAAAAAAAAACAATTTAAGATAATTATTATCAATTGTTTCTCAATTTCAAATGATAATGTAGAGTAAAAAAAATAGCAGTTTAATATTACGTGACATCGGTTAGCTGTTTTTGCTTTAATTATTGTGGCTAAGAAATTATTTTATTTTTATTCAAACTAAATTTTCTTATTTTTACACATTATTCTATCAGGTTGACAATGTGTATGGTTTAATGATGTTTATTTAATATATTTTGTATGTATTTATTCAGATCTATTAATTGAATATCTTACAAAGCTACCTATCTAAGGCTTGTGTAAAAATACTTGGATGGGTGGTCGTCGTTTGTTACGACTGTAAAGCATATTCCAGAAATGTGTTACATCTGTTATTTATTACTATTTACTATTAACTTCTGCGGCCCAACTATTATTTATATTATTAGTACAGCTTGTGTAGTTTATGCAACAAAATTATATGCGATGTAGTGCTAGGCTTGATTATATTTTTTTTTATTTCTATTGAATAGAAATTGGGCCAGCGAGAAGTTTTTATTAGCTATACTACGCGTAGAAAGACTAAGACCACTTTTCCACTATGACTGTGACTGTTTTGTGGTTTAAAATTCCACTGCGAAAACATTTCTATTAAAACATATTTGTTGTCTATCTTATCCAAAGCGGATGAATAGTCCTTCCATAGTAGAAAACTGCATAAATATTGTCACTGCCGCAACAGTCGCACGGTTCACTTCTCAGTGGAAAAGAGATCTAAGCTGTATTAAGGCTAGAGAGTAGTCTACTTGAGGCGCTGTGTGACGTTGGCCAGCGCGACAGCGAACGCCTGCAGCGCGGAAAACGGATACTGGAAGTCCAGCGTGTACGCGTTGCCATCGATGCGCCCGAACTGCATCACCTGTAGTTTTATAACGCGACTCTAAAATATCTTTTATTATATATAGCAACTATATGTGTCACTTTTAAAGCCGTCTTTGGTAATTATGATTGAGACAAATATTGTGGTTATGTGACCTGTTTCCCATGGTACTCAATCTGGAAGTTCTTGGCGGACTCCTGCGTGACGCGGCCACCGAAGTCTAGCTGGTACACCTGGCTGTTCTCGTTCCACATCGGCGCCTT